GAAGTAAATACAATTTTCAAAATCTTCAAATGTAGACAAATATTAATACGAATTAAATACACATAAATGTAAAAGCAAACCCTTAATCAAGAAAGGTGATTTTTCTAATGATCATTGTGACAGTTGTTGAACATGTTTTCTTTAATACATGCATATATTTATGATATCGATTTTGATCAATAAAATATAAATAAGGAGGCCATATAATACATGTAGTACAGTTTTTTTTTTTCTAACAATTTAGATTTTTGAAACCTGTCACCTTGGATAGAAATGCATTTATAGGCTGTCCCAATTCTTGAAATTGTTTTTTTCCAAAATTATGCTCCAGGGTTTCATTCAAATTCTGTCATAGACATGTTCTTGTTCCTTTTCTTTTTCATCCTTTTTGGTGAATCCTTTAAAAACAAAAATATTGAATATAATATAATTATGTAAAAATTCATAAAATTCATGATAAAAAATAACTTATTTTATAATATATATGAAACGATATAATTATCTTTCTGTCAACATGATCAAAAGGAAAGTCATATCATCCTTACAAGTACATGTACCTACATGTACAAGCCAAGCACTATATATAGGGCCTTAGTCTAGGTCACGCAAGTCGCTTGACCCCAAAAGTTTTGTGTAAGATCAATGATGCAACAAAACGTGACTGAACCATTTTCTTTTAGTTTTATATATACTAGGTGTATGTGTAATAATATGGCTGAATTGTAAAAGGATTTATTGTGTTAGACACAAACACTGCATCATGATTATACATTGTACCATGATGTTTCATCCTCAAATATTTTTATACTGTGTTTTTTTTTATCTTTTCTGAAAAGGGAAACTATCACTTAATGTTAAGAAGAAAAGATTGATTGATTGTATAATGTCCCTCTCTAGAATTGATCACTAATATTGAGACACCACCACTTGCAAGTGGGGAGCTACAAATTTTGTCCTATACTCGTGACTCAATGCCTTTGAGCACTGAGGATGTTTTTCATGTCAGTGCTTACTGCCACACGGGATTACAGTTTATACGGTCTAATCCGAAGGACCGGTCTCCATGTCCCACAGTTGGATTTGAACCCAGGATGTAAGGATGAATTCCATACTTTGCAACTCTAGACTAGACGCTCTAGCCACTGCACCATGCAACAAACTAAAAAGAATACTTATAATAGATAAAGATCTCCAGAATTAATATTATCTTAAACAAAGAAAGATGTACGTTGTATTTTAGAATCCATTGTTTGGTACTTTAAATAGTATATCATCTCATGAAAAGTACCAATAATGCTATTATTGCATGGGATATAAATTTACAATGCAAAATATTTAGCTATAATTTTTTTTTCTGTCCGGTAAATTTATATGGAAAGCATTGATTTTTAGACAATCGCATACAATTTCTCTGTATTTGTCCTGTTTAGAGCACTGATTCCCAATTGATACATTGTAGATTTGCAAGAATATAAAAAAAATCAAAAGTCTCTGTCGAGACTGTAGCTTTACTGGTTTGTACTTATAACAAAGGATGAGAAAAGAAGCGATTGCCACCAGATCACAACTGTAGAAGGAGTAGCTTTTTATAGGAATTTCACACATTTCTATTTTTAGTAACAATGGCAATACTGTTCATCAAAATCAAAAACCGATGCACTATTTTATATATCTTAGTGTAGTCTACTTGTGTGCCAAGTTATATTGAAATCAGACCAAAACAGTAAGAGGAGTTGCATTTTAAAGGAATTTCACAGAAAATTCTTTTTTTTAGCAACCATGGAAACACCGTTCATCGAAATCAAAAACCGATGCACTATTCTATGTATCTTAATGCAGACCACTTGTGTGCCAAGTCATATTGAAATCAGACCAAAATTGTAGGAGAAGTAGCGTTTTAAAGGTATTTCACAGAAAATTCTATTTTTAGAACATGGCAACACTGTTCATCGAAATAAAAAACAATGCACTATTAAATGTATCTTTGTGTAGTCTACTTGTGTGCCAAGTTATATTGAATCAGATCATAACTGTAGGAGGAGTAGCGTTTTAAAGGTATCTCACAGAAAATTCTATTTTTAGTAACCATGGTAACACCGTTCATCGAAATCAAAAACCGATGCACTATTCTATGTATCTTACTGTAGTCTACTTGTGTGCCAAGTTATATTGAAATCAGACCAAAACTGTAGAAGGAGTAGCGTTTTAAAGGAATTTCACAGAAAATTCTATTTTTAGTAACCATGGTAACACCGGTCATTGAAATCAAAAAACGATGCACTATTCTATGTAACTTAGTGTAGTCTACTTGTGTGCCAAGTTATACTGAAATCAAACTAAAATTGTAGGAGGAGTAGCGTTTTGAAAAATTGTTTACAGACAGACGGACAGACAGACGGACGGACGCCGGACGCATTACTATCGCATAAGCTCTTCTGGTCTCTGACCAGTAGAGCTAATTACAAATTCAAAATTATAGCCCCCCCCCCATTTTGGCACTGAAAATCTGTATTTCGTTTAGGATATATTGCACAAAAGCTATTATATCCTATTTGGACAATTTGTTCAAACCTGCTGAAGGAGACACCCCCTCTCCAAAAGAAATAAATTATCTCTGCTTTGAATTGTTTCTAAAAACCTCGCTAATATGAATATTCATAGTCATTTACATGTACTTGTGATTTTTTTTCTTTTTTAATAAAAAAGAAAACCAGAAGTCTCTGTCGAGACTGTAGCTCTACTGGTTTGTACTTATCAAAAAACCATTGCACTATTTTATGTATCTTTGTGTAGTCTACTTACCGGTATGTGCCAACTTATTTTGAAATCAGACAAAAACTGTAGAAGGAGTAGCGTTTTTAAGGAATTCCACAGAAAATTCTATTTTGAGTAACCATAGCAATACCGTTCATCGAAATCAAAAACCGATGCACTATTCTATGTATCTTAGTGTAGTCTACTTGTCTGCCAAGTTATATTGAAATCAGACCAAAACTGTAGAAGGAGTAGCGTTTTTAAGGAATTTCACAGAAAATTCTATTTTTAGTAACCATGGCAACACCGTTCATCGAAATCAAAAACCGATGCACTATTCTATGTATCTAAGTGTAGTCTACTTGTGTACCAAGTTATACTGAAATCAGACAAAAACTGTACAAGGAGTAGCGTTTTTAAGGAATTTCAAAGAAAATTCTATTTTTAGTAACAATGGCAACACCGTTCATCGAAATCAAAAACCAATGCACTATTCTATGTATCTAAGTGTAGTCTACTTGTGTGCCACGTTATATTGAAATCAAACAAAAACTGTAGAAGGAGTAGCGTTTTAAAGGAATTTCACAGAAAATTCTATTTTTAGTAACCATGGCAACACCGTTCATCGAAATCAAAAACCGATGCACTATTCTATGTATCTAAGTGTAGTCTACTTGTGTACCAAGTTATACTGAAATCAGACAAAAACTGTACAAGGAGTAGCGTTTTTAAGGAATTTTACAGAAAATTCTATTTTTAGTAACCATGGCAACACCGTTCATCGAAATCAAAAACCGATGCACTATTCTATGTATCTTAGTGTAGTCTACTTGTGTGCCAAGTTATATTGAAATCAGACAAAAACTGTAGAAGGAGTAGCGTTTTAAAGGAATTTCACAAAAAATTATATTTTTAGTAACCATGGCAACACCGTTCATCGAAATCAAAAATTGATGCACTATTCTATGTATCTTAGTGTAGTCTACTTGTGTGCCAAGTTATATTGAAATCAGACAAAAACTGTAGAAGGAGTAGCGTTGTAAAGGAATTTCACAGAAAATTCTATTTTTAGTAACCATGGCAACACCGTTCATCGAAATCAAAAACCGATGCACTATTCCATGTATCTTAGTGTAGTCTACTTTTGTGCCAAGTTATACTGAAATCAAATTAAAATTGTAGGAGGAGTAGCGTTTTGAAAAATTGTTTACAGACGGACAGACAGACAGACGGACGGACGCCGGACGCATTACTATCGCATAAGCTCTTCTGGTCTCTGACCAGTAGAGCTAAAAATTGTGAAAAGATGCAATGAAATAAGCAAAATAAAGCAACCTGAGGTTGGTAAATAAAGGTACATAGGCAATTCTATCTACGTACAGTGAACATGTAACTAATAGGCTTAATCTACCCAGTGCTGGACCTGGTTACGTAAAGAGATTGTGTCTGAGCTGATGTATGTTTCATGGTCTGCCATCAACATGTTCAGTATTTTTATGTAATTTTTATTGTGAAATCAGGTGTCACAATTTTCAAAGCAGAGGCCTCTCGGGTACATGCATGAAAGCCAATAAAATAGAGAGTAAAAATATACATAGTTACTTAACATTTGTAATATCTAAAATTACCTCTTGTCTTCATTATGTATTATATCTTGGCCTTCTTTCTTCTTCCACACATTCAATCCTCACCCGCTTGGATAAGTATTCTCACCAAACCATTTATTTACCACTACAAGTACCTACATATTGTACCTACTTTTGACAATTTATGGCTATATTTAAGTATATCAGGTACTTGTTAATTCAGAATAATCAAACTTTGTCAGTTGATGCATCTTGGGATTTCGGAGAATGTCGATAAAAAACTTTTGTCACGATGACCTGCTTTTGAGTATCCCAGGTTCTTATTGGCTTAGAATCATCAAACTTTGTAAGTTGATGCAACTTGAATTTTATGAGAACGTTGACCAAAATGTAGGGCAAGGTGACCATTTCTTGATATTTATGGCTATATTCAAGTAAGTACCTTAGGTGCTTATTGATTTAGAATCGTGAAACTTTGTCAGTTGATGAATCTTTGATTTTCGGTTAACGTTGACCAAAATGTAGATCATGGTGTCCTACTTTTGAACATGTTATGGATATAATTTTACTTTAAGTTTTATTTATATACAGGATGCTCAGAGGCCTTATCAGAAGAGAGACTCAAGCCCCTTGGGCTTCTTATATAAAGCTGCTACGTGTCATTGCTATATCCAAACAAATAGGCCTAATGTGTTGCTGTTCATTGCACTTTCGTTAAAAGTAATCAGTGAATATAAAGGAAGGATAATTTTTGTATAAATAGGTGGCTGAGTGATACAACAGCATGAATATTTTGCAAATGAATTCAAAGGAATACAGACGGTGAATATCGGTATATAAAATGTTATACATGTACCTGATTTCTGTCAAAATATCTTTACTAAGACAAAAAAGTTAAACAAATTCGATTATTTACAGAATGTGTTTGGGAAACACTGATGCAATTGTATTACAGCTTATGGTGAAGATTGAATTCGCCTAAATGCATGTCACACTCAAAATGTCAAGGTCAAATGGTCAGAAGTGTTGAAACCCAAAGGAAAGTTTTGTTACAAGGAATACAGATGTGATATATGAAAGCTCTAGATTTGACAATTCAAAAGTTTTTACCAAGGTTAAAACTTTAAAAAAGTGGGTTAAATTCTTTGGTCAATGTCAGAGATACTTATACCAGTTGAAAGGTCTTGTTGCAATGAATACATATCTGTGGAATGAAAGCCTTAGGTCCAACGTTTTAAAATTTGGCCAAATTGAAGTGGTTTTTTTGGTGGGGGGGGAGGGAGAGTGGGTCGAGCTCGAAGGTCAAGATCGAAATTGTTGGTACCCAAGGTAAGGTCTTTTCACAAAGAATACACCTTTGAAATTTTAAAGTTATAGCCCCAACCACTCAACTGCTATGGGTTAGGTAAAAGAAGACAACAGTCAGACTGAGACAAACAAACAAACGGAATAACAGAATGACAGACATGCAAAAAACAATATACCCCGTGGTCTTTCTATCCGGAGACATAAATATTTGGTTAAAAGGTTACTTGTTTCTTTATGCATGTATCTCAGGTATTTATATTCCAACCCCAATTTTCCTTGTTCTGGTGATAATTTTTTTACAAAGTATGAAAAAAGCATACAAGTATTCATGCATAAAACATTGTCTGTGAACCAGTTCTCCTTATTTTGTTACTCTAACAGCTACTAAGCATATGTCGTAAGCTTTTTCCAATATTTTCACCATATATGGTGTAATTCCTGTTGCTCCAAGTGATTGCAAGAAAGAAACCCATGAACCTGCAGCGACTGCACCTCCGTTAGCTGTTGCTGATAAAGACATCAAATGAGCGGCAATTGATCGAGCTGATATTCCTGTTGACGTAAATCCAAGAAGAGGAAGAAGGAACCAGGAAGTCCCTGCTGCTAATCCTAAAGCTGCGGCCATGCAGGCGGCAATTCTAGCTTCATCTGAAATTAAGTACCCAATGTTCATATATATATTGACTCTACTTTGAAACATGCGGATCAAAAATATCTGTTCATTAATTAACAAATTTATGTGTTAAAAATGATTAAACACATATATATTTTGACCAATTTATTTAATAGATGCAACGAGTTTTATGAGCAATGTTCACTAGTAATACAACCCCCACTTTGATGTGAATAACAGACATTCATATTAATATAGACAAGCTCAGTTACGCACAGACACATACGTACTATAAGAAGGAAGTCAACAGCGGAATTGAACAAAAATTAATCCCACCTCATGGGATGACTGTATGACTAAGCAAAGAATGTGCAAAAATTTCAAACATCTGCAATAAGCAGTTATGAGAAAACTGCGAAGAAAATATGTTATGTATAGAACAGACAGACACATGGATTAACGTGAGGATAACATTGGAATTGAACAAAAATGAATCACATCATATGGTATGCATCAGCAAAAAATGTGCTAAAATTTCAAGCATCTGCAGTAAGTATTTATGAGAAAACTGCTAAAATTATATACTAGTATTGTACGGACATACGGAATTATTGAAAGGAAGTTATTACCGGATTTGACCAAAAAAAGATCCCATCGTATGTCATGCCTTTCCAAGGAATGTTCTCAAATTTAAAACATATGCAATTAGTATTTGCTGCCAAAAATGGGATCAAAATTTTGTTACGGACAGACAGACACACAAAGTAAAACAGTATACCCCCCTTTCCTTATGAACGGGGGTATAAAAATACCTAATTGATAATATTTATTTTAAAGATAAAAATCATAACTTTTATTTTTTCTACATTGTTAAGATAAAAATTATTCGTAAAATCGTTTTTGCATTAATATGAAGCATAGTTAAGTTTTTTTTACAAAGGAAGAGAAGAACTTCAATCGACACGTCGACATTTAGATGAGACAATAACATGTGCATAACAATTTTACAATTTATTGAAATAGTAATTTTAAAATATTTCATTTATACGAGGCGTTATCATCTTAAACAAGGACTGTTGGTTTTTAACAATCATTTTTTTAATAGCTCACCTCAGCTGAAAGTGCGCATTTCTGATCACATTATGTCCGGTGTCCGTCTGTCTGTCTGTAAACTTTTCACATGCTTGACTTCTTCTCCATAAGTCGCCCGCAGTGCGCAATGTTTAGAGCGTCTGCTCTGAAGTCGCGAAGTAAGAAATTGATACTTACGTCGCGGTTCGTATCGCATTGTGGGACGTGGAGACCGTATAAACCGAGGCTCCGTGTCGCAGTAAGTGATAGCACGAAAAAGATCCCTTCCTGCTCAATGGCCCTGAGTGTCGAGAATAGGACAATAATTTGCAGCTCTCCACGGGCAAGTTGTGGCATCACCATATGATTGAAAAATTCTCGAAAGGGCCGTTAATAATTAAAACTCAATCAATCTTCTCCAGAACCACTGGGACAATTTCAACCAAACTTGCCACAAAGAATCTTTGGGTGAAAAGGATTCAAGTTTGTTCAAATGAAGCGCCCATATTTATATTCAGAAGTATTAAATCAACATTTTGTGGCATGTTTTCAAACTATTCTTCTCAAGAACAACTGTGCTAGGAAAGATGAAACTTGTGGGTTTCCTCGGGTGGTGTAAATTCCAGTTAGTTCAAATCATGCGCGGGACCACAATGGACAATCAAATTTTTACATAGAAATATATAGGAAAATTCTTTGAAAATCTTCTCCAGAATAGCGAAGCCATGATTGATAATAATATCTAGAAGCATCCCAAGTTTTACTTAGAAATGTACAGGAAAAATATTTCAAAGACAGCAAAGTTATAAATGGTCATATTTTATTTGGGCAGGGGGGGGGGGGGGCAATGAAAGTTGCCCCCCCCCCCCCTGCAAAATGTAACGGGCAATAAAGCCACAGGTAAAGAAATATGCAAATATTCCTAGTGTAGATTCAAGTTTGTTTGAATCGTACCCTCTTCCCTTTAAGGATCGGTTGCGAAAAGTGCTTTTGGGTTTAAACTTTTAACTAAAAAATTGATTTCTGCTGTCTTCCTTGTCCTAGTGCTTAGGTCAGCTTTGTGGCACTTGGGCCTCGTGTATCCATTTTTGTTTCACATGCCAAGGAATCTATAATCCCGTTTATATATCAGTTTAAAGTTGTTGTTAAAGCCATACCATTTAAATGATTGAAAAATCATACAGAAACGAATATTTCATAATACAATTGCTTATTTTGTAAATGATATGCTCTTAATCAATATTAAAATGAATATTTCATCTTTTGGCCTGTTAGGATCTCTGCATCTATGAAGTATCATTGATTTGTGTTGCATGCATTTATTTCAAATGAACGGCTCAATATGCGATAAATTTAAGCTCCAAACTTTATTTTCTAAAAATATTTAAAATATCTAATTCATTTTGTTAAAATCACTTAATTCTTTATTTTTAAAAGCCCAATGCTTTAAATTTCTATTCAAAGTGTAATGTTATAAAATTTTGAAATGAAAACCAAAAAAGTTATATATAAAATGTTTTTAAATCTTCATAAACAGACAAAAGAAAAACTCAAACAGCATTTTCCCCAGAATGGCTGGTTGGATTTCCTCCGATTTCTAAAAATAACTAGAGCCGAGCTCGTTGCAAAGCAACGAATAGGTCTTCCGTTGGAGCTACGGAAAGGAAGACGTAACCTTGAGTCTAGGTCAAACCATTCTTAAATTATTTAAGTAAGCAACCCATAGGCTTGTTGAGGAAGCAACTTACAATGTTTCGCCAGGAAAAAGACTGTAAAATAATGTTATGTGCATGACCTTGAACTTTCTAAATGACCTTGCAACAAGCAAAGACAAACTCTGTTATAAAAATACATACTCTGCGTGTTACCGAGTGGAAAAGTTCACGTATGTTTTTTTTAGATATTCTTTTAGTTCATATCCAACCAAAACATCTTATCTTAAGTGACCTAGAACTTGAGACAAGGTCATGCCCCACCCTGCATTATATGAGCAATGTTTCACTGGTACAAATACGGTTGGGAATTAAAGTTTCTCTGTCAGTAACAGTGACTCGTCCAAAAGACTGGATATGTTCAGTCAAATTTTTTTTGAGCATATATCGAATCGAAAGAATTTATTAGGTTCAAAACTATGATTTACATGATGATTTATTTAGAAATATGAGTGTATGACGTTTGTTGAGAATATCTTGAATAGTTTCTTAAAAATTGAAATCTTAAAAATGGAAATTCCGTTCAGATAATGCATATAGGCATAAGCTTACAATAAAATATCTCAAATGGTTTCTTTAATACTATGCAAATTGCAAATTAAAGGCAAGTGAGGTCAAGGTCACAGGAAAGTGCAAGATCAAACTGTATCATGATACTAAAGTTTGATAAAAATGTCTTGAATGGATTCTTCAAATCTGAAGGTCGCCCGTTTGGCACAGTGGTTAGAGCATCTGTTATACACTAAGGTTTGGATAGCTCTCATAAGTGTGTACAGTGTATCAGCAAATGAAGTGAGTAAAAATATAAATGCTTTCTTCAAAACTGAGCTTAATATTCAATGAATTAGGTAAGATAAGATAAAGGTGAAAGGAGAGGTCAAAGTATAAAAAAAGTGCATGTTTCACCATAAGAGGTAAAAGAATACTTATAGTCTTGAATGGTATGTTTCTGAGTTAAACACTAACCTGAGAAAAGTTAGGTTAAGGTCAAAGGAAAGGTAAAACAAAATGTTGATGCAGTTACAAACGGGTAGCTAGCCTATAGTATGTATCAGCACATATCTGTACATATCGGCACATGAAGTTTGATTATACTATCTTGAATGGTCTCTTTAGACAGAATTCATAAAAGGTGAGATTAAGTTCAAAGGAAAGGTCAAAGTTAAAATATGTTGATGCAGGAAAATAGGTCTCATCAATGTTTATCAGCATAGGACGTTTAATATAAAAAAAATGAATAGTTTCTTTGAAATTGAGCTTTGAACTGAGGTAAACGCAAAGCGGGGAAGAGGGACAAACGGAAAATGGAAGACGTACATGACAAACAATATATGCCCGGCCATTTTCATGTGGAAGCATCAAAGTTTCAATGAGAATGTTTTATTTGAAATTTGGAGACTTGTGAAATGATGCGTGGAGACCAATCCTATGGATGAGACCGGATAAATCAATGTCTTTTGTCGGGGTAGGTGCTGGCATGAAAAGGATCAAAGCACCTGATTTCATCAGGCATAAAACTTGAAATTAATAAATGCACAAGCAAATACGATTGATTAAAACAAATATGAGATAGAGTGAAATAAAATACCATATAACGGGTAATTTTTACTGCTGTATATTTTTACGAATTTGGGTCAAAAAAGGTGATTTAAATTTTTATACGTTGATCTTTTACGAATTGAATATGTCCGTAACAATTCAAAACATCAGACGTAAAATTCCAGATCACATTGAATGCATTTACGTGTACAAATAACGTGTCCAAAAACCCTATGTAACTTGTAAGAGAGAGAAAGAAAGAGAGAGTGAGAGAGTTATTAAACACATGTTAATTTGATAAAACAATATAAACAATGCAAACAAATTACTTAATGAATTGTATACAGGCGCAGATCCAGAAATTTTTTCCAGGGGGGGGGGGGGGTCCACCTCAGTCAAAAAAAAATCCTATCCCGGAAATTTCTTGACAAGCCAAAAAAAAAACGTAAAGTAACACTCCCCCTAACGTCAAAAACCTATTTCGTAAGGGGGGGGGGTTAGTGGTGACTTCTTTTCTTCTTTTGCCTCAAATCTATAACTTTTCATACCCATTTTACACATATAGTCCAGGGGGGTCTGTGTTTTCCAAGGGGGGTCCATGGTAACTTTTTCCTTGTTTTAGTATGTACATTTTTTTAACCTGGTAAATTCCAGGGTGGGGGGGTCCTGACCCCCCCGACCCCCCTCTAGATCCGCGCATGGTATATTTTTTT